CTAATGACGACCAGAATATCGTTGATGTTTATAATGAGAATCAAATTCAAGACCTTTGGCTCATAGCACTATCTCTGTCGTCTATTGAACTAGAAAGCCATTTCTTTCTTTTTTCACTTGATATCTTTCATCATCTATTTTCTTCCAAAGGAAATTGGTGTATTTTTTTGATCAGCGAGTTGTATAAAGTTGAAATGAAACGAATCATTTTCTTCATCTTGTACTACATAACATATAAACATGAAAAAAGAGACTCAATAGCTTGCATCAGCGAGGTTACTTTGCTTTTTTTTGCAGCTCGTTTCTGACCAATCGTCTACAAACTAGTTGAATCTTCTTCTAAATCAAATGATTCTATAGTCTATGAATAGTATAGTTTATCGCTGTCATACTTTATTTCAATAAAAGTTCAGTTTTTAGTGTTCGGTAATTATTCCAACTTTCTTGAAAAAATAAGATAACAAGATGATGACTACTCTCCGACCAGTCAATAGAAACAAGCAATAGACTTTTAGCACAATGACTTTATCAAAAAAAATAATGATTCTATGACGCAAGTTGAGCTTGGTACCAAGAAAGCAAAACGAGAACGTGCTCCACCAATATTGATAGGAACAATTGGATTCAAACAAAGTTCAATTGAATTCCGTACAGATACAAGAATGGTGGATGCTGATTGATCTATGCTCATCAATAGTAACATGTTCTCAATATTCTAGAAACACATTGTCATTCAATATGAAAGTCAATCCACAAATGTACCAAAATTGATTTGTGGACAACCATTTGCCCAGTAGTGCAAACAGCATACAAATATCAAGGGAAAATTGATGCTTTGTTGCAATTCGGATTCTCACCCAGTGATTCTCGAATGAATTGATCTTCGACTTGATCTTAAGTAATCCAAATAATAGTCTGTAAATCATCCTTTTAGAGTAAGGACTAGAATACTTTAGGCAAATCGAGATAATCTTCAACAATTCGACTTTGGATCAAGCATACAGGGAACCTAAAGACCACATAAAACACTGCTTCGGATATAAAGACTCTGTACATACAACAGCAAGATTTCAGGTGCAAAGGTACAAAGTCTTTATCAACTCGACAACCAGTAGTCAATAGAGTATCAATTCTACCTTAAAGAAGCCATCCTATAAAAACACTATCTAACAGAAGCTCTATTGGATAACCAAATGTCCACATAATGACAATTCAACCAACTCTCTCTTAGATACCCCTAAAAAGATAACAACGTATATTAGACTTACTATCAACTAATTGGTTTTGAATGAAAACGTTGATTCAACTTTTGTATGCATCGAGTTGTGCCGTTATCTTTTCTAACACATTGACTCCATTCATTACTAGGTTATATTTCAATAGTCAAGTTTGAACGGTTCTAACAATCAACGCATTTAGATGCGAATACTTGAAAAAAGATTGAAATCTGATATTAGATTCTTCTCTGCGAAATGAATATAGCTTACCCAGTGATGCTTGGTTGGAACGAAATAGTATAACTAAAAGCACTTCAAAACAAGTAGTAATCAATTGAATCAAGTACAGGTTAACGTAGTTTTATCTAAACAAACAACCAGTTAATATCAAAATATATAAACTGGTAGTATTATATTCGTGGCACTGCAAAGATACATTACAATTCATCGCTTGAGTAGATTCATGAAAACTATCTAGGATGAAATGATCAACGAAAGCTTATCCAATATTGCGGAGGAATAATTGGACACTCAAACACTACCAAGTTTTTTTCAAACCAAGTCTTCAGCTCCCTAGTCCTCGGTATCCTTAGTAATAATACTAATACTAATACTATATGGAAAATCGTTTTTCTCGAGATAAGGACTAACTCGTTCGATAAATTCAGTATAATCTCTAAGAATTCAAAAGTTGAATCAACCATAGAGGACATTTCACTAACTTATGAAACAGAATTTCATCTTGATGAAATATTCAACTAGTAATCAACAAATAACCAACTCCTACACAAAAAGTCATTTTAAATGAGCAGTATCAAGAAACATCTTACTTTCTTTCCAATAAACAGTAAATCATTGAATTCAGTATACAATTCAAGTAATATAAAACAGTAACCAACTTCTAAATACGGTGAGAAGAAAGAAATCAAATAGAGCTTTTCTAAAGTATCTAGTAGAATTATTGTGCCATATCCCGTTGAGATTTAACTAGAAGTGGTAAGATTCAGAGTACTCTAAAGCAAGTGATTATTACTTCCTTCAATACAGCTATAACCAGAATTGTTTCGGATATCAATCTGAAATAAGATTCAAATTCAACTCATCAATAGAAACAAGGTATTATTTACAGCATAAATACATTGTCATTTATCACTTGAATCAATTGTGGTAATAGTCCAAGATAAAGAGGTGGATGAAAACCACCAAAGGTTGCGAAAAGGTTCAAACAACAAAGGATATACAAAAAGATCCTGAAATCAGAACAGGACAAGAAGTTTGTGTTTTGCTGCTACTTGTGTAAAAAGCACAGAATTGATTCTGCTTTTTGTGAGAATCAACCTCAAAATCTATAAATCATAGGTCTGATATTCTAACCCTGTGAAGCCAGGGACGCATTGATTCACTTCCTTTCCTTGAAGTTCTTTCAACTGACCTTTCTATATTATGCAAATGAAAAGTATATACTATGTAAAACATAAATTTCTGTCTTTCATAACAATTCATAAGAATAAGGGAAAACAACCAGTAGGTCGTACTAGGACAAGTTCAATTTCTATTCCCAGCAGATCGTTTGTACAGAACTTTGACAGCAATATAGTTGATTCTTTCTTTGAATTTACGTTATCTCGCAGTCTTTGAATGCCACTTTTTATCATATTCGTCCCTTTTCTTGTAAGAACATACTACAACTCTAAAAAACAAGATCTTCACCATTCTACAATTACACAGATAAAGAAGACAAAAAAAGAAATAGAGATATTATCTTATCCTTATCGACTAGATGACTACTTCATATGAAGCTGGTCTTAGGGTCGAACATGTAAGATGGAAATGTTCTGAAGCATAAATAATCATAAGATGGTTTCAACATAAGAACAATACAATATATCAAGATAAATCAGTAGTAGATTCCAGATCACAGAAAACAGTATGTTGTACACTTTCATGATATGGCAAGTTCACTTGTCAAAGATTACTTGTTTCAACTGACGAAATTGGCTTGAATTGATCACTTGGACTATCAACTGCCCACCCCTCCAAAAGCAACACAACTATCAAGGGACAAAGAGATTCTTTGTGATTGAGATTTACAATGAAATAAGCTTCTGAAAAGTTTTTACGTCGACGTTTTCCGAAAAGAAATGACGACTAGTTGCTTCATCATACTATCATGAGTTAACAAATAAGTTCGTTTCAAGAGTCAAAAGATAAAGATTAGTCTCAACAGGTACAAGCAAAATCGAAAATCGACAAGTAAAGCAACTCGATACCCTATTTGTTGTTCAAAATCAGGACCGTATGTAGTTCTACTGATAGTAAAGTACAGGAATATCCTGTATAAGTGCAAATAGTGCCTTTTTCTTTTGTAAAGTCAACAATACAATTTTCCTGTATGGTAAAAAATAGGTCAAATTCGTACTTTTATGACAAAAACTATTATTAATATTCCATGTAATACTAACCAATACACTATAACTTTCTCTTGTTGTTGTTGTTGTTGTTGTCTGTTTACAATTCCAAGTAAATAAAACAATGACAATTTTCCAGTCATGCCAACAACGAAGAAAACAGTAAAAGATAGAAACACAAGTCATTCTCTTTATAGACTTGTTGACTATGTCATACTGTACTAGCCTTGGGCTCATATTTGTTGTTGTTGCTGTTCTGGTTGAATTTCAAGTAGTGGCGAATGGTTTGATTTTGCTGTGATAATCGAAAAATGCTTTATGGTTCGTGTCAATGTATGTCTGCATATGCTTTCTAGGAATTATTTACCAAAAGTTGGACTTTATCTTCAGAGTCAAACCAAAAACTCTAGTCGGACACGATGACATCAACGTGTACACTTGTGTAACATTGTAGAAGTTCAACCCATCCTTCATGAATGTCTTTCAGAGCTACTTTGTATACTATCCAAACGCAAGCTGTTTGCACAAAATGTGAAGTCTCCTTTTCACTTTTTGACAGCTACAACTACCACAATTTTCAACAGCATGACTTTCAGTGTGTTGGAAAAAAAACAGATCAGCAGCACACTTGAAAACGCAAATACTGTTTCACACAAGTCGCATTGTTTCCCATTCACACCGTACTACTAATGTTACCCTCCTCTTCAACTATATAAGGACCAAAGACGATTTGCAATAGATGCCTTTCAGAAACAACAGCAATACTAGTTCCACTACTATCACTCTTACGACTTATGTATCGTTTTAGACATATTTCACCCTCGGTAAAACCAATAATTCATAAAAACAAAGGCGTTTCTCAAAACGGACTAGTAGCTACAGTCGCTATCGTCAAAACATTTTACCAGGTGGACATAACCATGACTTTCAGCAATGCTCTTTTGCTTGCTTTATTTCACGGTTCCCAACAAGTTGAGTATATTTTGAACTAAAAACTGTTCCCTTGCTTTCAAAATACAAGTATATTCAGCTTTCGTTATCTAAAGACCCACATCCATAATATTTCAAAAGACATACTCGTATCAATAGAGAATTGATCCAAAAGCACAACAATACAAACAACCAATAAAAATATGCAATGATGGACTCAAGACTGTCCTATGCTATTCTGAGAAATGCCTGTTGCAGAGTTACAGACCGATTTCTACATCGTGAAAAGAGTCATATAGAAGACAAAAAACTACTATACGGAATATAATTCTGTGTACTGACTAAAAGACTCAACTGAGAGTCTGACTGGTTTCTTGTTCTTGCAGAATATCTTGGAAATATCAACCCAAAGACTGATTCTCGACAACAGACTACAAGATTAGACTATCAACTGCTAATACATACGCAAAACTGCTCTGAAACAATTATCAATAAAAATAAAAAAACTTGTGAGACAACTAGTTGACTAAAGTACCAACACTCAACGACAGCTTAAACTCCTTTATCTTTGCTCTCTTCTCGACAACGCTAATCTCAAATTTCCATAAAAGACCAGAAGTGAAATAACAACAAGTGTTGCATAAAGTATATAAACTCCAAAGAGATAATAAAATTTATACATACTAAAAAGAAACTACAGTCTACATGGAACTCAGAGCTCAGGAATCGATGGATTGTTCTAAAAGAAACATTTGCAGAGCTTAAAAAAGAAACGCAGATAATAGAAATTCACTTGTCCAACTAAAACAAACGACGAATTCGCTTTAGAAATTAAAGTCTGAAAAGTTTCACTAACAAACTTGAACCAGGTCCACAGCCTTGACAAAACTCACTGAAACTTCCTTTCCATCCAACAATCAAACCATTGTGTTCATTTCTAATTGGATTGTTATGAGAAGGATCGCTATGTATTCTCTCCTTTCACTGGAGATATATTATTTTGAGTGACTAGTGAGTTTTATGAAAGAAAATATTCCACTTGGAGATATGTAAAAAGGTTCTGGAACAATAAGTGTGCTAGATACAATCAATCTCACATCTCAGTAATGTTGTGAAACGAGAAGAACAGTGTCGTAACAAAGGTCCTCTCAACTCCCTAGCGACACTGTAGCCCTTTAACAGAGTTGAGTTTGACCAATCTTGTCTCTGCAAGGTAAATTTCAAACTACTTGTGACCCTATTTTGATAACAAACCAAGAACGGGTTTTGCTACAACCAGCTTTTGACTCGTTCTCGATCTGAGAACCTTTCTTTGTTGGTCACTCAAAATTAAGGAAAACTCCTTAAAGATGTGAAATGTTCATTTTCTAATTTCAATGACATTAACTCTGTTTGGCTTGCATTGTGAGAACTAGAACCTTTCCTTCTATGCAAATACGCTCAAGGAACAATCTTTGTTCGATTACGAGTTATAAAGAAGAATAAATCATATATTCAACCGTAGAATTGGAAAGTATACAGAGGACAGGACAATAGTAAAAAACTGACCAAAGGTTGGGAATACTTTTGTCTATACACAAATTCGTACATAAACTACCTACGATAAGGAGGATCGAACCTCAAACGATTCAAGGCTATTGGTTCGTTCTCCACGTAAAAAACTTTTTGAGAGTTTTGACTAGTATAACAACAGTAAAAGTGGTGATGTTTTTGCTTCTCCTTGCACATATATTTCAAGATTCACCTTTCTTTTTTACTTTGCCAAGAGAGATGAAAGATTCTTATTTTTCCATTATTTCTACGCTTATATTCTTTTCTTTTCACTAGGAGACGAAATTGATCCAGTATATTTAAAAGAACAAGACCTTTACCAGTTTGGATAACAACCAAAATATCATTTAAGATTTGACTCTGCAAAGGAATCAGATAAATTGTTTTATCTTATTCTGCTGAATATTGCTTACGAGTTGACGACATTTTTATTCTTTGTAGAGCAACTTGGATAAGAAAGCGTTTCTCTTCTTTTTCAAGTTTGACTTGTTCCTAGTAGAATTGAACATTCCTTCTATTGATAGACCCGTTTTTTATACGAAACGTTGGGTTGTCTTTGATTCTCGTTACCAATATCCAAAAGGAAGCCTCTACTAGTGTACCCATCAGGTTATATTTCGCAAAAGTCTTCTTTCAAGTGCCTAACGCAAGGAACTTTTGTATAGTGACTCACTTATTCAATGAGCTGATGGTTGAGAGTGGAAGAAGATTAGGACTCAACTGCAGCTGAACAAATCGTTCTTTGAATTTGCAGAGCTTTTAAAAGTTTTACTTTTTTTTATATTGGAAGAGATAATAGCTCTCTTGGAGTTTTATAGTTCCTAAAGCAGCTTTGTACTTTTTATAGTTTGCTTTCTTGTATATCTTTAAAAGTTGTGGTTTTTACAAAGTTTATCGTACAAGAGGATGCAGCAAAAGAATTTAAACCTAAGCAGTCATGTTACCTTCAAAAACACCTCAAA